TTCTCACTCCACTCTTCCCTGGCTGGAATTGCTTCTGCACAACAACCTTCTGTTCTTAAATATGTAATCACAGAGGTGTTACTATTACTCCTGATTGGCTTGGCCTTGGCCAGTGGCAGGAAGTTCATCCTGAGCTGGATGGCATTGGCTCCACAAGACAGGGAAAGCTTCTAGCAGCTTCTAACAGAAGCCATCCCTCTAGTCCCCTGCTGGTTACCAAAACCCAGCCACAGAAACCCACTACACCTACCTTATGTTTGGTTGATGTGAAAAGTAGAACCCAAGTTCTGGGAAGGAACATGAACTCGTCATGCTGTACTTACATGACAATCAGTATTTTAAGCAAACCTTGCAGCAGTGAAATAGCCTAAGGTTCATTAGGTCTATATCTGCCCAGCCTGATCTCATAAATGCCTCTAAATTTATTCTTTCAGAGGTATTTGTTCAAAGCAGATCCTGCGGGTGTCCACCTGCAAAAAACAGCTTTCTAGGTACAGACTCACAGAGTCAGGCACTCTTTAACAGAATGACCAGTAAGAGACAAATAACTGGTGAGTCCAGATTAGAAATTTCTGTTCATGCTTTCTGCCAGAACTGCTGTGTTCTGACCTCTTTGTCCAGTTCTCATGTTCTTCTCATTTATTCACAAAGTAACCTAGAAATGGACAACCTAACCCCAAAAACAGACTTCATGGATGAAAGTCCATCTACTCAAATACCACTGTTACCTGGGATGTAATTTTAGTCATTCTAATAAAATTTGAGAAGAGATAATTGTTGGAATAAAATCTCCTTAGGCAGTATTGAAGGCAACTCAAATGAAGGGAATAATTGTCACATAATTGTTATGTTTGTCTTTGGACTGTAAGCATATGCCTTTTTCTGTTGGTTCAATATATTTTTGATAATGAGACATACATGGTAAGTTTTTAGGTTTTATTAGATGTAAAAATAGCTGTTTAAAATAACAGAAAACTCACAGCACAATATTTCTTCTACTTGTCTACATGTTAATTATTCTGGTTGAACTCATGCTAATTTTTAAATAGCATAAAAAGTTTAAAATTTTGAGAACTATGTCAGTAAAAGTCCCTGAATGATTTTCTCTGAGACTTTGTTTGCCGCTTTGAAAGTATATGTTCTCTAACTTGGTAATAAACCACCTTGAATTCAGAAGTTCTTTGAAAATTATGTAGAGTGCAGAGAAGTAATTTTAGAACATTTCTTGGCAGGAAACAAAACACAGTGTTTTACTTGTATAGCCATAGTGTTATTTAATCCAGACACATAAACTTTTGCATCTTATCTACAGGCCATTTGGAGAACACTGGTTTTTTTGCCTATGAAAATAACTTTAAAATTCACCAACTACTAGGAAGGGGAATTCCATGTTTTAAAAAGTTAATTCTCCAGATTACAAAGTAATGCATAAAATCCAGCCAAGAAACTAAATTACGACACAGTAATATATATGTGATGTGATATGCAAACAAGCCAATTCATAAAACTCATATCTGGGAAATTTACAAGTGTCTTGTAAATAAATGTCTTGTAAAACATAGGTTAGATTATAAAAGAACAGATCTACATTTTTAAAACAATGAAAGCCCCAATCCTGCTAAATTCTAGGCATTAAAATAATCTGAGTGCATTAAGTTCTTTGATGGGTTAAGGACTAAACCAAAATTTGTTTTTCAAAGATCAACAAAAATTATTATCAAAGATGATAAAAAAATACACCAACTGTACCATTAAAGCAAATGCTTAGTATTCAACCGTAAATATTTTTTTATTCTTGAATCTTAAAGCAATTTATTTTCTTTTAACAGTTTTGTAAACTCCTTAGTTATTTCTTTCTTCTGCTTTTGTCAAAATATCGTAAAACCATTTCCATCAGGCCTATGACTCTTTTCTATGCTTTCATTTAAGAACAATATTATAAAATACCATTATGTTTTAAAATCCCTAGTTCTTGAAGCTGTATAACTTATGTTTTTATATCAATATTTAATACTTCCCATTTTACCATATTTTTTAGGTAGTAGAAGGCTTCATATTTTCAAATAGTATAATACCATACTTTCTGTCTATATGACATCACTGTTTCACCCACAGAAAGCTAAGCTTTCGGATCTTTATCAAGCTTCTTTTCCACACTGTAGAAAAATTAAGGAACGTGGTGGAAGATCTGAATGTTTTTTATGACCATATAGAACAGTATATAACACATGAGGTTTTTAGGAGTTTATTTAGTTAAGAACATGTAAAAAACACCAAGATTTTTGATGTATGACAAGAAATGTATTTCCATCTAACAGATGAGAAAGGAATGTTTGAGAATAAGAGCAAGTAGAAACCTTTAAATCAAGCGTTATTTCTTTCTCCATTAATTTGACACTAAGAATTTTGATTCCTTTCTTCAGTCTCTGTTGTTTCAGAATAAAGGTTTGGACTTTGGCGGTTTGGACTGTCTGGAAAGGTCCCAGCAGAAAAGGGCCTGGGGGTGCTGGTTCGCACCGGCTGAAAATGAGTCAGTGTGTGCCCAGGTGCCAAGAAGGCCAACGGCATCCTGGCTTGGGTCAGGAATAGTGTGCCCAGCAGGACCACGACAGTGATCATCAGGACACTGGTGAGGCCACACCTCGAATCCTGAGTTCAGTTTTTGTCCCCTCACAGCAAGCAAGACACTGAGGTGCTGGAACATGTTCAAGAAGGGCAATGGAGCTGGGAAAGAGTCTGGAGCAGCTGAGGGAGCTGAGGGGGCTCAGCCTGGAGAAAAGGAGGCTCAGGGGAACCTTATGAGGTGGGGGTTGGTCTCTTCTCCCAAGTAACATGTGACAGGACAAGAGGAAATGGCCTCAAGTTGCACTAGAAAATGTTTAGATTGAATACTAGGAAAAACGTCTTCACTGAAAGGGGTTGTCAAGTCCTGGGACAAGTTGCTCAAGGCAGTGGTGCAGTCACCAGGAGGGATTTAAAAGATGTGCAGATAGACATAGAGCACTTGTGGACATGATTTAGTGGTGGACTTGGCAATGCTGGGTTAAGGGTTGGACTTGATGATATTAAGGGTCTCTTCCAACCTAATTGATTCCATGATTCTAAGACATGGAAAAGCAGTTTATTCCAAGAATATGTAACTTGATTTCCTAGGCGGCAGATAAAGTGTTAAATTTCTTGGAGTCTGATGAGCTGAAAGACTTCGCTTTGGATTTGGTCTGACATCCAGGTTAGGCCCATAATCTTCCATCTGACCCCTGTTGGTTAAACAAGGGAAATTCAGACCTGCTGTGTAGAGCACCCAGCAGGAATAACTGTTTATCAGTTCAACAGAAGTTTCAGTTCACCAGAATTTTAAGTTCATGGCTATTAGACATGTGAGATGCCAAGACCACTCAGTTACTATGAGAAATAAAATAGTCTGGGTTTATTATAAGTAGAATTAAGTAGAAAGCGGGGGTGTTGGGATTTTTTTCTTTTCCTATCTCTCATTTGACTACAGGAATTTAGGCGCCCCGCGAAGATTGTAAGGTGGAAGAGTCCCATCAGGGCTTGACACCAAGGGAATGTTGCGGCAGAGGTAGGATACAATATATAAAAATGAAAAATTTACTCCGGTCACATGGTAGGTCTTTGTGTGCAAAACACCCCCCTGTACTGTACAGAGGGATACGTCATCAACCAATCAGGCGGGAGGGCAACACCCCTCCCCAGTTTGAAAAATTACCTTTTAAGGTAAAATACCTGTTACCTGTTGAATATTCAACATCTTAGGTGGCCAAGAGTACAAAGGGGCATGCATTTTTGAATTCGAGGTGCTTTTTCCAGGCATGTAGCTTGGGACTGCACCCAGCGCTGCAATGAAGTATTCTTTCTTGTAAGTTTCCCTGTCCTGCACGTGTTTTTGCCAGTTCATAAATTGGAAGAAGAGATTTTTCTCACATTACAGATACAGCAAAGACAAAATATGTCTTTGGACTATTCTGTCTAGGCTTTCTGCGTATGTTTCATTTATCTTTACCAGCCAGTGAAGCAATACAAGCCATATTGATAATTGCAGTTGAGTTAGTCTTGTATCTGTTCAATAAAATCCACTTGTTCAGACAAAAAAACCAAAGTACCAGCAACGGTTGCGGAGGGTACTACATGTTTTCTTGCGTATTTTTATGTCAAGGAATTCATGCACAACACAATCTTCTCTTTGCAGCATATCAAAAGCCAAAAAGGAGGCCAACGCTGACAGGTGCGCTGAAAGGCTCTGTAGAAGCAGAGGACGACTCAGAGAACTACAGAACAGCTCTGCAAGCCATCCACAGGTCTGCAGAAAGGAGTAAAAAAAGCCTTCTGACCTCCAGCACTACCACATGGCCCTTTGACAAGGGCACTGCCCGGTCCAACAGATACAGCTTCACTGAGCCAAGAAGCCAGATGCCCACCCGGATGCACCAGCTTTTTGGTCTCACCTGATGGACTTGCTCTTGCATTTCTGCCTTCTCCTCTGCCATCATCATCGGATCCACCTGCAGCTCCTCCTGTTTCTCCTCTGCTTTCTGGAGTTGCTCTTGGATTTCTGCCTTCTCATCAGCCATGATCAGCAGATCCACCCGCAGCTCCTCCTGTTTCTCCTCTGCCTCCTCCAGCAGCTGCTCCAAGTAGGTCTTCTTCACACAGATCCCTTTGTTTCCTCTTTCACGCAAGTTCATCTTCTTTGCCATAGGGATCTTTGTTCTCTCCGTCTTGTCCACTTCAGCTGATGGAACTTCCTTCTCTTGCTCCAGCTACACTTGGAAGCACGGAGGAAATCAAATACAGGAAGATTTACCATGAAGAACATTTGGCTCTCACAAAAAAAGGAACATTGCCATAGTCAGTCAGTCATGCTGCCAGAAGGCAAGAGGTCTGAGGAGGAGAAGCAGCTGTAGACAAACAGCCGGAAAGTCCCTTGGCAGCTCTGCTCACCTGCAGCACACACCGGTTCAGGTGAACACAACGCAGTGCAAGAGCCCCAACGATGCCACTCATCTTCACTGCCGCAAGATGGAGATCTGCTATTTCTGCGCTCAGCTGACTCTGAGCCCCTGTCAGCTCTGCTACTGACTGCTCCACCTGAGGAGACCAAAGAACAGCATGACAACAAAGGCAGCAAAATCCCTGACTTCAAGGAGCAACTCCACATCCCCAGTGTGTCTCTGACGTACTCTCAGCTCAGTGCTCCCAATAAGCTCGTGGACACTAACCACCCCAGGGAGCCTGTGTAGTTGGATTGCCATTTTCCAAGAAGGAGAACAACACTGTCCCCGTCTTCTACTGCCCCAAACACCATCCATCTGTGGTGGTCTGGCTACCACAAAATCTTCTCCCACAAGTGCTGCCTAGGAAGAAGGTGACCATACCTTCAGCAGTTCCAGGCCAAACTCCTCCTTCTCTTCTCTATCTCTCAGCAGATCCCTCTGAAGCTGTGGTTGCTCCAGTGTCTCTCTCACAACTCCCAGCTCCCTCTGTAATAGGGAGTGCTTCCTCTCAAGGGCAGCTAAGCCTTTCAGTCTATGAGAAGGGGAAAGACAAACAAGCTTTTAAATAGCAAAACAGTCTAATTTCCAAAACCAAGACTACGCCCATCACACACTTAGAACTCATATTCATAGCAACACGTCCTGTTATGGGGGTTGAAATAAATATTTTTCAAAGGAGGTACCCCTTTCATAGCACTTTGAACAAAAACAGACTATCCCAGTGCATTGATCTCAGTCAAAAAAGGTTACAAGTAGAAAAAAGGGAAACAGAAATTCAGCAAAAGCAGGCTGGTGTATTTTCTTGGCCTTTGTATCTGTGTACACATTCACATCTGAGCAGTTTGCCCAGAAATATCCACTATATAGTTAAACCAAGCGTGTAGTCTGACAAAAAAGAAGTAACTTTACTGTGATTCATATGCCTTCTTTCACATCCTCCCTGCTCTTTCATGTCCTCCTTTCAATCAGTCTTACATAACATAATGGTCTTGTCCAAGATTTGTTCTTAAATCACACCAATTGACCTGTGCTATATCTAGAGCTCTGGACCCATGCAGCACAGTGGGATGTATTAGAGAGCAATGCATAAGTAGCCAAAGAATCTGCCCATCTTCTAAGGAGACTACTTCACATTCAGCATTGCAAATGCTACTCTATACTTCCTTAATCATTATTTTCTGGAAGAATGGAAAGCTTGCTGTAAATTCAATTATACATTTTTAATGTGATTAACAGATTGATACACTAACTTATAAGCTCTATCTTACCAAGCCAAACACAGACTAATAGATTAGGAGAACCAAAAATACATTCTTGAGAAGCAAAGATAAATTTTACTCTACACCTTAGTTTATGCCTTATATACCTAAGGACTTGTGTTTCAGTACTTTCGTTATAGCTTTCCTCTGTTCATTAAAAAATCCTATTAAACAATGAAACAGCTGGAAAAAAATAGCAAAGTAAGCACTTAAAGCAGGCACATCATGAATCAGATACACTCAATAAAACAAGCCATACTGGTACAAGTGTTTTCTGTCCACTACACTCAGCTTGCACACAGAAACACAACATAACTCTTACACTCATAACTGTTAAAGCAATAATTTTATTAAAAGCATTTAAAAAAAAAAAACAACAAAACAAACATTGTATCAGAAGTTTATCTTCCAGTGAACTCTTTTGCATTTTTGAAATCAAGAAGTCTCTTAGGAAGAGACTACTCTCTATTTTAAAATTTTTAAAATCTATTTTATGAGGTGAAAAAACAAAAAATAAACTTCTTGCTTTATCAAGAACATGAATTTCTACAAGCAGAACAGCCAGCCTCATTTCCTTATGAGGGTGTTCTTACACAGGATCACAGTGACAGCTGTCTCTTCAATCTCACCCCACACAACTTATATGAAGTCCAGAAAATTAATGTGTTTGTTTGGAGGGAAGGGTGTCAATCAGGACAGGGGAGGAGACAGAACAGAAAGGGGTTTGTTTTGTTACTTGGATTGTAGGCTGTTTTTTTCAAATGGTGTTGGTTGATAAGTCCATATCAGAAGACACACTGAACATACCAGATTCAACAGCACATGCATTTCCTCACTCCATCTTTGGCAGAAGTTTCGTGTGTTCTTTATTTGCGACAGGAAAACTGAATTAATCTCCATACAGCATACTTTGTATGGAGAGCCAAGTCATAAAGCCCACTACAGACTAGTTCTGATACATCCTTCTTCCTTACAGTCAGGTATCGATTTGCTCGTTTTCTGGGAGGGGAAAAAAAAGTATTTTAGGAGTAAGTAACCTACTCTAGGTTCACTTTTATCTGTCAATGTACGAGGTTCTATGCAAAACCCTTGAAAAAAAACAGAGCAGGTCATGGTGAGAAGTCTTTTTTATGGACCCATGAAATCCACAAAACAGTATAAGCACAGGCTATCTCAAACTAGCATGTCACATGCTCCACTGGGGAGAGGAGTGGGAGTGTGTGGCTGAAGGCAGAGGGTTGGAACAGGATGATCTCTAAGGTTCCTTCTAACCCAAGCCTTTCTATGAGTCTGTGATAATCAGCCCTTCAAGTAGTGAAGAACTTTGGAGAGACTTTTTCTGTTTTAACTAAACAAAACCAAACAATTTCTAGCAGTAAAACCTAGTACTACATGGCAACATTTATGTTAAGAACATCACATTCTTTTAGTTGTTTTTTTTGTTTGTTTGTTTTTGTTTTTTGGGTTTTTTTAAACAGAAGCTATTTCTACTTGAAAGATCATTAAAAGAAAACTCCTTACACTGAAGTTTTACATACCAAAAAAAACAGCTGTTAAGGTAAGAACAAACATGCACTTAAGAACTTCTATGGCATCCACCTAAGTCCAGAATGACAATTAATTATTTTTAAATACTTCACTGCCTTCTTTTTACAGCACTAAAACTGTGTGCATTTTTCTGCCAAGCCAGAAAAAATATTACAAATAAATATATAAAACATTTCACTGTTTCACTCTGGCCATGAAATAGCAAATATTGATACCAACTTTCAAAAATACCACCTCATTCTGCAATATTTTTGGAAATAATTGCACTATTGCATGGATAAGTGTCCTGGTTCTGGCCAGGATAGGGTTAATTTTTGCAGTAGCCAGGAGGGGGCATGGCTAGGACACAGACGTTATTCCATGCCACCTCATGTCATTGCCAGATAGAGGGGAAAGGGACTCATTTCCAAAGAAGTTCCTTCAGGTCCAGAAAATGTGGCAGGTGGAGCTGCCCAAAGTTGTCTATTGTCGGAGGGTTTTTCCTATCTGAGTTGTTTATTTTCTTATACTCTCTGTCATTGGTATTGTTGCTGTTATTGTTCGTTTTCTTACCCCATTGCTGTTTCCAGTAAATTATTCTTAGCTAAGCCCGTGATCTTTTCGTTTTGTGCCTCCAATTCTCCTCTCCATCCTGCTACAGCAGAGGAAGATAGGAGAGCAAGAGAGCGGTGCATGATTTGGAGAATCTAGGTGGAGCCACTGAACTGGGGAGTACCATTCCTAAAGCATGACACATGGATCTTCTGAGGATAAACACCTCTGAGACAGAAGATAGACAGTAACTTAGCTGTGCCATGCACAAATACAGCTACATGGCTTCTGGAACACAGAGAGAATAGGCAGGGTGAGCCCATATCAGCCTACAAAAGACATATGTAGATGTACCCTTGCTGTGACAACATACAAAATCAAAGTCAGCTTCAGTGAATGCAAGTAGCTGTTACTACCTTATGATTATGAAATTATTATTATTCTGCTAGAGCAATACCAAATGAAAAGGAGGTAGGTGTTGCCTCTTAGCACAGGAGAAAAGCATGAGTATCTCTTGGAGAACATTGAAAAAAAAAGCAAACCATATGTGACATTTGTTCTCACAACCACAGCTCCACTGATGAATATCAAGTGATTTACAGTAAAAGTCAAAGGTTTTCTTCCTAGGTTGTGGTAATTTACATTAATTTTAATGGCTAATGAAGCTAAGATTTTTGTTTTGTTCTGAGGTTTTTGTTTGCTTTGTTGATTTTTCTTTTTTTTGTTGTTGTTGTTATAGACATAGTTGATAAAATGAAGATTTTCTCTCTTGGACTTTTGTTTTCAGAAGCTTTCCTAATAAAGAGGAATCCAAGGGAATCAGTTTATCTCTGTATTTTGTATATATATTTTGTATACACTATTTTGTATATTGACTATGCTTTTCCTGAGGAACCATATCACAGATTCACAGAATCATCAAGGTTGGAAGAGACCTTCAAGATTATCTAGTCCAACCATCAACCCAGCATCACCATAGTCACCCCTAAAACATATTTCCAAGTGCAATTTCCAGAACACTTCTAGAGACGGTGGGTCCACCACCTCCCTGGACAACTTTTTCCAAACATAACCACTTACTCAGTGAAAAGATTTTTTCTAATACCTAATCTGAACCTCCCTTGGTGCAATTTAAGACCATTTCCTCTCGTCATTTCACTTGAGACATGGCAGAAGAGGTCGACCCCCACCTCATTACACTTTCCTTTCAGGTAGTTGTAGAAAGCAATGAGGTCCCCCCAGAGTCTCCTTTTCTCCAGGCTAAACACCCCAGCTTCCTCACCCAATCCCCATCATACTTGTGCTGCAGACCCTTCACCAGCTCCACTGCCCTTCTCTGGACTTGCACCTTAATGTCCCTTTTGAAGTGAGGGAACAAAAACTGAACACAGGATTCAAGGTGTGACTTCACCAGTGCCCAGTACAGGGGCATGATCACTGCCCTGGTCCTGCTGGCCACATTATTGCTGATCCAAGCCAGGATGCCCTTGGCCTTCTTGGTCACCCGGGCACACGTTGCCTCATGTTCACCCATCTGTCAACCAGCACCCACAGGTCCTTTTCCGCTGGGCAGCTTTCCAGCCACTTTTCCCTAAGCTAGGAGTGTTGCCTGGGCTTGTGACCCAAATGCGGGACTTGGCACTTGGCCTTACTGAACCACATCCAATTGGCCTCAGCCCATCAATCCAGCCTATCCAGATGCCTCTGCAGAGCCTTCCTGCCCTCCATCAGATCAATAATTCTGCCCAACTTCACGCCATCTGCAAACTGACTGAGGGTGCACTCAAGCTCCTTGTCCACATTATCAATGAAGATATTAAACAGGACTGGCCACAGGACTGAGCTTTGGGGAATACCACTGGTAACTGGTCCTAGCTGGATGTAACTCCATTTACCACCATTCTCTGGGCCTGTCTGTCCAGACAGTTTTTTTATCCAGTGAACAGTACACCTGTCAAGGCATGGGCAGCCAGTTTCTCCGGAGATGATGTGGGAGATGGTGTCATATGCTTTACTGAAGCATGCACAGACACACCCTTTCCCCCATCTACTGAGCAGGTCACTTTGTCACATATATTGTCACTGGTAGAGGTTGCTGGAGGTAGACAAAAAGTGGTCTTTAAAAGGCCTGCTTTATTTCTATGATGCCTCCTGTACTTAAACCTGGTATAGAAGCACAGGGTGGTGTAGGAAGTACTGTGTGGTTCACCATACAGTACATGTATCTTTATATCATGAAGTATCTAAACTGATGTCTTCTAATGCATATCACACACGCTGAATGTAAAATAAAACTGTTCAGATTTAGGCTTTTTGTTACTGTGATTCAATATGTAAGTAGAAAAAAAACCTGATACTAAAAACGGTCTTGGATACTTGCATCACTTCTTCTTTTAGTGATCATTACTTTTTTCCACAACTTTGTAGGACTTCACCTTTAAATGGGAATTTAGTTTTGCATGTTATGATCAATTTCTTAAATCCAGGTCTGCTATGCCTAGAAGAAAATTGTGATGAGCACATATAGATCAGGCAAACTTCCAAGCATACATATATATAAAGATGGGGTCAGGAAATTGCTAAATTGATACAACGCATGGCAGTAAAGATAACATTAATGTATTTGAACTCTCTGACAGAGTCCTATGTAATTCCCAAAACATAAAGTATATTTTCTAGTGTTTTTTCTCCTTTAAAGACCTATAAAAGTACACCATGCCTATATCAAAGAAAGTTACTTTTACCCTTCATTTAGGCTTGCTGTAGAACTGGTCAAAGTCTTCTCCCACGTCAAGTCTCTTACACGCACACATACACCCAGAAAAACAAAATTCTGCCTTTGCTCGTAAAGTAAACCTGCGGTGCGCAAGTCGGGCGGGAAGAGCCGTCCGCGGTGGGACTGGTGATGCCGTGCACAGGGGAGCAGCTCCCGGCTCAGGCATCCCACCTGCCTTCTGGAAAACAAACCACGGCTACTTCCAAACCCAGCAGCTCTTCTTGTACCGGCAGCGCCCCCTGGTGGCCGCGTGCGGCCCCTCCCGCTACTCAGGGCCCGTTGAGCGCGGTGCGGGCGCGCGCGCGGCCGCGGTGACGCACGGGGGTGGGCGGGGCAAGGCCACGGGAGGGCGCCGGGAGTGGGGGGTCACTCGTGACAGACAGCAGGGGAAGCCAATGGAAAGCGGCATGGCGGGCGGGGCGGGGCCGCAGCGCGCTCGGAGCCGCGGTGACGCAGCGGGTCCGGCCCTTTGTGCGCGTACAGACCCGGCCCGGCCTGTCCTCTGACGGGGCCGCCCCGTGGAGCGGGAGGAGGAGCGGGAGCAGGAAGGGCTGAGGAGGAGGGCGAAGGAGAAGCACGGAGGAGGACGTCGCCCGCCCGCTCGCGCCGCCGCCGCCTCATGCCGCGGCCCCGTCCTGCCGCCGGGGCTGAGCCGCGGCTGAGCCTCCGGCCGCTCCTGGCCCCGCTGGGGCTGCTGCTGCTGCTGCCGGGCGCAGGTACCGCGGGGGGCGGGCGGCGTTGGGGCGGGAGCGCAGCCGGAGCCCCTTTCCGTCAGGTAGAACCTCTCCTGAGGAGAGACGCGGGAGCTGGGCCTGTTTATCTAGCTGAGAGGGAATCTCGTTAAAATGTCTCCAAGGCGATGCCGAGAGGATGGTGCCAGAGTCCTCTCGGTGGTGCCCAGCGACAGGACGAGCAGCAGTGACCATGAACTAAAACACAAGAAGTTCCACCTCTACATAAGGAAAACTTCTTTACATTGAGGGTGGCAGAGCCCTGGAACAGGCTGCCAAGGAAGGTCTCCAACTCTGGAGACATTACAAACCCACCTGGACGCGTTCCTGTGTCACCTGGTTTAGGTGACCCTGCCTCGGCAAGGGGGTTGGACTGGAGCATCTCCAGAGGTCCCTTCCAACCTTAACAGTTCTGTGAATCTGTGATTTATTCAACTGTTGACTTGACTGATTTGCTCAGCTAGCCTGATTTATATATGCTCAAAACAATATCACGAACACAATGGAGGGGAAATAAATTGATACTTCGAAAGTCTGTCTCTGAACCCACGATTACCTGTTATTTTACCTGCCATAGGGTGTTTTTGTTTGTGTATCAGAAAACACAGAATTTGATTGGATTTTGTGCAGTTTTTTTCTGTTTTTTGCAAAGGTACATACAACTCTACGGTTGCACAATGATGCACAAAGATGAAGAGAAAAACTTTCTGCTTACACAATTCATGGTCACACTTCGCTGTAGGTGTAGAGTGCCTCATTCTACTCTGTGTTGTTCTGGGATTTTGACAGGAGATTTGTGTTAGCTGTGCATCACTGGGAAAACATATTGCCCTTATAAATTCATGGTTTGGATATTCACAGTAAGTCATGTGAGTACCGGCTCAGGAGGGTCAGCTAAGGGGCAAGCAAAGAAATTGCTAATATCCTCTCATCACTGTGAATTGCAGAAGACAGCTTTTTAAGAATGAAAGTGCTACAAGACTACTCTGCAGTCTGTTTTTTGACTTCTCATGTCTCAGGAGTTTCTGTTAAATATATTGCATTTTCCCTTTTTTTTTCACACTTCCATTTATCTTTGGAGGCATTTTTGTGGTGTTCAAAATCTGTTTTATGACAGTTTGAAATTACAGATTAATGTTTCCACAGTTGAGTTTTATAGGTCATAAAAATAACAATGCATCATGTTTTTAGTACGTAGTTTTGCTTGCCTGGAGAGCTGTTGCATGAAGTTGTGCACATATTCTTTATGAAGGGTCTTTGGATGGGAGGGAATCCTAGACTAGAATCCTAGACTAGGGTCCTCCTGGTTTTAAGCCCTGTGAACCCTGTGGCTCCGTTTCCCTTAGTGTGTGTGCAGTCTTGTTCATTTGGTTTCTGCTCCTGGTAAGTTCTTGGGTAAAAGTCACCAGCAGAAGACCATTGCTATGTGCCATGAGAATCTGGAAGGATTTTAGATCATGACTGTGAGAACTGTGGAGGAGAGGACTGTACAACTCCAGTTTGCTTACTGGGATGGTAATTGTGCTCTTTTGTGGAAATCAGGTGATCAGATAAGGCCAAACTGCTTTTTTCATGTAAAGTGAACTGTGTACCTGTTGTGTACATCTGGTAAGTACTTCAGGCTGTTGCGGGGAAAGCGTTTCTTTGGCCCTAGTCTTATTATTGAATTACTGTGTAAGAGAGGCTGCTATTGTTTAGATGTCTTAGCTGGAAACTTGCACACTGGACAGCTGTGGGTTTTTTTCACTTATTAGCTTCCAAAAAATGAGCAGTGAAGCTTTAGGTATGATAGTGCCAGAGAAATAAAGCAAACTGCCTGCCCAGTTTCCTACCATCCTCCCCTCTGCCCTGCTTTCTAGAAGAGAAACTTCGATTTCTGCTTCATTCATTCTATTTTCACTTGAACGTATATTGCTTTGCTGCCTTTACCACATTCTTCTGAGGGGCAGCATTCTGTAACTTGTGTAAAGCATTGAATGACTAAATGGAGACTTTCTTACTGACTAAGTGATTAATTGAAGCACAGAATTGCATCATCACCTTGATATCTGAAAAGAAATGTTTGGCTTATACTTGGCAGGACCTAGTGCTCTTTATTTTCATCTAGACAATATCAGGTGATGGATTAAGACATGCGTGGGTCCTGTCATCATCTGAGATACTCTCTCTTCTCTATCTTTCTGTCTCACAACACCTTTTTCTTTATTATGTATTGTTTCCCTAACGGGTGAGCACTGTAAGTTTCGTTCAGGTTGTTTTCTACAGCGCTTGTGGGTGTGGAATGGGGTATTGCCACCCAAGAGGTTTGCTTGATTTCTCTCTGCCGTCTCTTTTTGTGCTTAGGTGACTGCCAACTGCACGCATCTTGTGGAATCCAGAAGTGCACCACTGATTTTGTGTCCTTCACTTCCCATCTAAACGCAGCTCTTGAGGACTTTGATCTGGAGTTCTGCAAGGCCCTGCGCGCGTACTCTGCGTGTACCTATCGCAATTCCAAAGTATGCCGTGGAAACCTGGTCTACCATTCCGCAGTACTTGGGATCAGCGACCTCATGGCCCAGAGGAACTGTACCAAAGATGGACCAACGTCCTCCACCAACCCTGGAATGACCCATGATCCTTGCAATTACAGCAGCCACACAGAAGCCAGAGAACATCAGGGAGGGGAGAAGACTCCTGCTCCTACTTATCTGTTTTGTGGCTTATTTGGTGATCCACATCTGAGGACTTTTAAGGATCACTTCCAGACATGCAAAGTGGAAGGTGCTTGGCCCCTCATAGACAATAACTACTTGTCAGTGCAAGTGACCAACGTGCCTGTGGTCCCAGGATCCAGTGCTACTGCTACAAATAAGGTACGGATTTATTTTAAGCTCTGTGCATGCATGGAGAAATAAAAGGCCGAGACAGCGAAGTAAGTCATTTAGCTCTTAACTGTTAAAGAAGTATAACAGCTTGAGAATCTTCTGTGCAGTAGTACAATAGAGTAAAACTCTTACCCTCTTTCCTTCTGAGCATCAAACAAAACTTGAAACAGGTTCCTTTTTCCCTCTGCTGCTGCCCATGGCAGGAAAACTTGTGCTTATCACCACATAAGCCTGTAAGGACACTAGATGTAACACTTCAAAACAGTTATCAGATTATTGTGCATCTGTGACTGCCTCTGCATTCATTAAGTAGAAATTTTAAAAAATCATAGAATGCTTTGGGTTGGAAGAAACCTTAAAGAAGGAAAGAGTGTAAGTCTTTGCTTTTCATTAACTCTAAACGGTATGGCTATAACAGTAGAAAATGAAAAATACTGACAGTGGCACAACAAACAGGTTATTAAAACACAGATGGTTCAGAGCAGAAACAAAAAGGGAACTGCAGAGAATTAAAGGAAGCAAAACAGTTACGTGGAAGCTATATGGTTGTCAGGTCTTAGCTCCCTGGCTTTACTAAAGAAGCAGTACCCTTAAAATTATGCTGAGCATATTAAGCCCCTGCTGAGACAGGCAAGACTTAAGATTGCTCTCCTCTTACGTACTTGAGGAATAAATGCACTAGTATTGCTAACTTAAGCCATTTCCTTAACTTAAGAAAAATACTTGTCTCTCTCTGCTGAATGCAGGCAGCAGATGTCTCTGTCAATAAAAGAAATTACTTAAGTGTACATTTGAAGCTGATGCTGTCACATACCTTGTTCCCTTTTTGGAGTGAAATGGCCTTTTTTAAGATGTGGTAGTGTAGCTCTTGTATTGTGAAGGTCAGGCTGTGCGAACACCGTTTCAACACTATCTGTGTTGGAGAATTTTCATCATTTAGGTAAGCCTGGAAGTAGGTTTTTTATTACAGAGTTTGGAAGCAGGAGTTGCTGGTCACAGTAAGTTAGAGCCTGCACATCTTCCATGGAGTTGGCTGTACAGGAGTATTAATAAGGGAAAATCAGCTTTGCTATTAAATTTGTGCTGGATCCTGAGGTACTGACTAATGTCATTGCATGTGTGAGTGAGCAGAGGTTGGACTGAAACTCGGATTAACTTGTGCCTGTTCCAAGAACAGTCTGCATTGTGAATGAATTCTGAAGGTTTATAAAATAAGGCAATGAGGCTAACCTGAGTAAGCTTTGCAAAAGATGTCCCTTGCAACCTGTTCTAGTGGCTTTTTAAGACTCCTAAAGAACTGCAAGAAAAAGCTGTATTTCATAATCTGCAGTAAGCTTTTATCCTCAGTTTTACTAAACTCTTGCAAAATTTTCTTTATTTCCTTGTTCCTGGTAGTAGTAGAGGAAAATGTTGAGACTCTTGTGTACAAATTGTGTGGGTGTGATGGTTGTTAGATAGGTGATCTTAACTTTAGCCACATTCTGAAAATGATTGACTATGTAGCATGTTATGCTGGTTATATATCTTTTCCAACAGATAAGAGGACGACCCAAGGAGATAAATGTTTGTACATACTGAGGGAAAATATGGTTTTAAAGGGCATGCCTTCTATCTTTATTTATTGTCCTTTTTTGGTGTTTTTCTTTGACTTTTCATTCTGGGAAAAGCAGCAAAACATTTTTCTCTTCTGTAGTAGTGCTTTATCACCCCTGTCATTGCACAAGTGTGAAGTGTGAAGAAGCAATTAAATAAGACATATAGCTTAGGATATTAGAAATGTCTTTATCAGAAGTATACATGTCTTTCCTTGAATTTTTTTTTTTTTGGCAGGTAATCAAACTTACCACACCTGTTTGTAGGCAATGGAGGTTGTTTGAATGTACAAGTAACTTAGCAAGATAAGTTTAAGTATCTCTAATGCATCCTTCTGCCTCTTTTGTTTCTTTATGGAACAGGCTGCTATAAAAGAAATACAAAAGGCTTGTTAAACTGTACTACTACTGCTAATTTCATTCCTGTAACATTTTCCTCTGCAAGAATTCCATTTTTACTATAGTACACTATCTGCTGCTGGGTGTACTTGACTAATTTTGGCCACAGGGTAGCTTAAAGGACTTTTAAAGAGGTACAGTTCTGTGATATCTACATAGTGTAATCCCTAGCTAAGAGCATCCAAATAGGTCTTCTACCTTCACAAGAAAAGTTTCCAAAACATTATCCGTTGTTAGTCTGGCTGTTTTTTCATTGCAGTATTTGAAATATAAGTTTGTTAGGAAATAAGAACAAAGGTATATGCTGGACTTAAATTGTGTAGAAGCCAAAGCAAATACTAACCTAATTAGCCTACTCTAAAGCAGACCTAATGAAAGAAAGGGCAATAAGAGTAGAAGATTTAGTTTTTCCTGTATGCATTTTTCTTAGGGTGATTTATGAAGCTGTAGAAACAGAATATTTAATCTCCACCCCATATGTAGTGTGCTTTTGAAAGGTGCGAACCGTCAGTTGCCCTTGTAGGAAGTTGGTACTTTCGGATTTGTCTGAGCTTTCTGGTGTACCAACCTTTGAGGGAGTCAGCGACTAAGTGAACATTATTTGTAAAGTAAGTTTTCCTCTCTCTCCAGAACCTATGAGACTTGAATAACCCCAGTAGTGTGAGGGCTATCCATTAAATTCTTGAAGGACAAGAGAAGCTCAGGAGGACACCTCAAGTAAGAACATGAAGAATAAAAGTATACTGTTCCTCCCCCACCCCCCAGTGTGCATCTGGCATGAAAGTATGAAAAGCAGGACTTGGAAGGGCATGTCTTGTGAGAGTTGTGTAGTTATTCACAAAATGCTCTTGGCAATTTGTTTGTAGGTGTTTTGCATATTTGTGTTGCCAAAAAAACATCTGTTTTTCCGCTGTGAACAAAGCTATTGTATATTCTGTGGTTGAGCTGAAACTTGAAACTCCAGGTTTTTTGAGCTTGCCTGATGTTCTTATGCCCCTGAGGATAGGATCCTAGGGCTTTTTACGTGGAGAATGAAGGATCATCAGCAAGGAGCCTGGGAAACTGAGTTCGAGCTCCTCTTTTCTTTTTCTTTCTGCCAGACTTCTTGTATGGGTTTTGAGTAGGTCACTGGCATCTTTTATGTGTGATTTCTCCAGCTATAGATAAAGAGGTCCCCTTTCTTGGAACTGGTTTTGCAATTTCCTGAGGATAAATGTCTGTTACAAGGGGCTGTAGAGGGAGTAAGTTAGAAGAGTATTGCAGAATGCATTGCATAAAAGGTTGGAGTTTTTTTATTTTATTTATTGTTTGCTTTATTTGGAGGTGTATAAAGTCTCTATTGCCTTTCATCTCTGTGACAGGTGTTCTGGATATCTCTAGAGTAGTTGTCCCTGAATAGCAGATGAAGCAGAAGCTTGGGCTTGCCAGTGGAAAACTTTCCTTCTTGTTTGCATTAATTGGAAATGGAGGTTTTCCTATCCAGGTGTTTTGTAGTAGATAGCTTGAGGGTGAGAGTGTGAGTGTAAGGACATAGAGAAGGAAAAAACCAGCAAACTTTTTACTGCTTTTGCAGCACGGTTTCTATTTTTGCAGGAAATCATTGCAGAGTGATCACTGTGTACTTAGTCTCCTGTAAGTAGTATTAAAATGTTTATCTCCAACCTTTCAGTTGTTTTTTTAAGTAGGAGCATCAGATGTCTGGTTATGTGTCATTATTCTTTTTATTTTTGTGGACATCTTGCCTAAGGTGGAGATGAATTTGTCTTTCTTGGAAGTAGTACATACTACAGTTTTGTTGGAGGATATCATAGAATCATTTAGGTTGGAAAAGACCGTTAAGACCATTGAGTCCCATCACAAACCTAACACTGTGAATTCCACAGCTAAACTCGGTCCTTGAGTGCCACATGCCTTTTAAACATTTTTGAGGATGATGACTCAAGAGGCTGGGCAACCAGTTTCAGTGCTTGACAACTCTTTTTCAGTGAAGAAGTTTTCCCTAATCTGAACCTCTCTTGTACAGCTTGTGGCCATTTCCTCTTATCATGTCACTTGCTACTTGAGAGGATGATACCCCCCTGTCTACAACCTCCCTTCAGGTGCCTGTTGAGAGTGATAAGGTTATCCCTGAGCCTCCCTTTCTGCAGGCTGAGCAGCCCCAGCTCCCTCAGACATTCCTTGTAGGACCTGTGCTCAGATCCTTCCCCAGCTCTGTTGCCCTTCTCTGGACACATTCCAGCACCTCAATGTCTTTCTGCACGTGAGGGGCCAAGAACTGAACATGATGCTTGAGGTGTAGCCTCACTGCTGCCCAATACAGGGGAACAATCACTGCTGTGATCCTGCTCCCACAGTACTGCTGATCCAAGCCAGGATGCCCTTGGCCTTCTTGGCCACCTAGGCACACAGCAGTTCATGTACAGACAGCTGTCAACCAGCGCCCCTAGGTCCTTTTCTGCTGGGCTGTTTTCCACTCTCACTCTTTTCCAAGCTTGGCAGTGCTACATTAATGGTTGGAGTCCATGATCTTAAAGGTCTTCTTCAACCTGAACAATTCTAGGATTCTATTAAATGCATAGTAAAATAGCAACATATAGGGATACCTACAGCACTGTGATTGCCTTATAGCACTAGGGAAGACCAGTACAAGAACTCAGAGTTGAAAGTCTTGATTTTGTTTGAGGCACAAAAGCCAGGCACCATTAACAAATACATTAAGGTCATCTAGAAACTGCAGTTTGACATCTCAGTAACACCATGTTTGAAAGGCCTTGGATGTGCAGTGGAATTTAGAAAATTTTTGTGATCAGTGCACTCATCAGTACTGGTATCAGTAGCAGTGGGAGGATGAAGTCCAAAATGAAATGTGCAGATTGGATGTGTGTGTTGTTTGTTTTTGATTTAGTACTCTTACTATAGCTGATGTTTGTTTACTGTATCTTCAGGTAAGTCTCTGGAAACCTTTGTATTCATCTTTCAGAGTTCCTCGCTGCAGAAGAGCTCTGTATGTGACCACAGAACAAGGCTGAGATACCAGTACTTTCAAAAGTCTTTCTTCATCTGGTATTTGGATTTTTCAGTCCTAGGTTTAGAAAGGGCAGCTAGTCTCTAGTCTGTAAACAGTAGCCCATAAGCAGTTTTGTGGAGGTATTCTTGCAACCCAGAGTGAGTGTAAAAAGTGCTGTAGGTACATAGACACATGTAACACACGTTAAATTTGTTTGAAATAATTTTTTCACTTTCTAGTGCTTTCTGTTACCTTAAGAACTTAGATTAAAGCTTTGTAAGGAAATTTGCTTTATTTCCCTTTGCAACAAGCTCTGGAGTATCTCTTAATACCAGGGCATGATATTGAGGTAGGAGTATGTGATAAGGGAAAGACTATGCAGAACTCTGGTTTTACTAATCTAGCCTATGGATTAGATGGATGTCATGTGACATACAACACAATATTCAAAACTAATGTCTTGAGCTGCAGTGTTTAAATACAAGTATGTCCTTGGAAAGTCTTAATCTCTTGATTCTCTGGAGTGTTCTTGCAGCCTACATGGAGGCCTTTATTTATTTTGTAGTCATTCAGCTCTCATTCACCATGTAATGTTATTGCTAATCTTGAGTTAGGGTGCAGGCTTCTCTTCTCCCTCTGTGTATCTGAAATTGTGTGCATTTCATTGTTGCAGAGGAGGGGGTTTTGGAGAGAACAGTTTGGTGGCTGCTTGCTGATAAATTTTGCCAGGTGCCTTGCTTAAATGTTTTTATCCAGCAGCCGGTTCTGTGTCTCATTAAAACAATTAACTCTTTTTGACTTCAGGCTTCTTCAGGTGCTGAGCAGACTTAGAGCTTTACTTCTCAAGATGTGTAAATCATTCTCTTCTGGCAGAGCAATACAAATGTGCTCAAGGAAAGAGGAATGCTTCTTTGTCTGAGCAGGTGGAGATAGAAGTCTTTTTCATCAAAACTGCATTATACAAAATAAAAGACCAGATTTACTGCATGAAGGTCTGGATTATATGCAGAAATACTAATTCCTTGAGAGATCTCAGGTTTCTCTTCTCTGAGTTGCTGAGATTACTTTACTAAGCACAGAGTTGTGAGGTTGTCTTTACAGCGGTGAGGGCACTTGTGTGTTTTCTGGATTTTGAATGTAGGCATTCCACAGCTTAGCTGTGGTCCACAGACATCAGTTTACTAAATGACTTGACTACAGGTGGTCTTAAGCTATATAGCTGACACAGCTCAAGCTGTGTAACTGATTGACAGAAGGAAAAACCATTGGAAAAATACAGTCATCACCAGTGGGAACATACAAAACCAAAATAGGAAGTATTGTCTGTGTTGTGAGACAGAAAGATGGACAAAACATCAGCCACCTGGGACAAACCAAACAGTGAAAATAAATGTAATACTCTTATTGCAGTAAGAAGTCTGCACACTCCACAGGAGAAACTGTTGCAATGGGAGGAGGGAGATGGGGAGACTTTTGTTTTATACAAGTAATATGGAGAGGTGAGGCTAATGAGGGTAGAGGTTTTATCTGAATTGTCTGTAATCGGCTCTTTTTGAACCTCTACCGCTTACTTCAAAACAGAGGGGCAGGAGACAAAAGCTGTTGTGCAGAAGTGTGCTGGTTAACTGATACTAGTTGTTCTTCCTGGTCGTGATTGTACCTTTCCGTGATTTGGCACAGTCTCATTCTGGTTTTGCCACAGTGGCCAATGTTGTGGGAATTACTTGGCACTTACACTTCTCTGTCATTGCAGGAGGCATTCCAGAGCTTTAAAAAACTATCAGGCAGGAGGGAGTTCTGATACCTAATTAAATAGAAAGCCTTTTCCTTTCCAGACATCACAGCTGTTGCCACATGTTACTAGTCCTTCTTCCAGGACAACCTAAGAAAAAAATCTAACAATTGGTAAAATATTACTTTAAGCATGTGTACAGTCTGTTTTGCTTTAAGACATGACTTGTGGACAACTACCAGGCTCTGAGGTAGTGGTCAGTCCCAGACGTATTCAGCTGCAAAATGGAAAAGGGGTTGAGATAATGTTTTTTTTTCCAATAACTTTGCTTTTTTTTTCCCCCTTCCCCTCCAGATAACTATTATCTTTAAATCATACCAAGACTGTACAGAACAGAAAGTGTATCAAGCGGTGACTGATGACTTGCCTGCAGCTTTTGTGGATGGTACAACGAGTGGAGGTGATGGGAACACCAGGAGCTTGAACATCGTGGAGAAGGTCAGTGGGAAGTACATCGAGATGCACGCCCGGCACATCGGGACCACGGTGTATGTGCGGCAGCTCGGACACTACCTGACGCTGGCCATCCAAATGCCTCGGGAACTGGTCATGGCCTACGAGGAGGGCCAGGACCTGCAGCTCTGTGTCAACGGCTGCCCCTCCAGCGAACGCATTGATGACAGCGGTCACTTGCCATTGCCTGTGATGAGCAAATTGCTTCCTCAGGGCAGTGCTGCCCATCCCCGATCAGGGTACACACTGGAAACCGCCGCCACCAAATGCCATGAGAAGATGCTGGTGAAGGACATCTATTTTTACTCATGTGTATTTGACCTGCTCACTACAGGTGATGCCAACTTCACAGCTGCTGCTCACAGTGCCTTGCAGGATGTGGAAGCGCTGCATCCCAGAAAAGAGCACTGGCATATCTTTCCCAGAAGCAGAGCTGGTGTTGTGGGGAGGGATAGCAAATTCTTTGTCCATCTTGGACTTGTGTCCTTTATCCTTGTTGTGTTTTTGTAGTTTGTTTTTTTTTTTTGTCTGTAAACAAAGTTTTGAAATATATATTGTCATAATATATTGAGTAAAGAGGAGTATATATGTATATACCATGTATATGAAGGGATGTTTTGTCTTGGGACACCCACCAGATTGTACATATTGTGTTAACTGTTTTCATATATGTTTGATGCAGTGTTCTTTGTATCTATTTGTTTTACAGTTGTTGAAATGTTTTATAATGTCCCTGCACTGGGACCTGATAGAGAGCACTTTATTTTTTACATATTAAATATTTAAGTGTGTATCTGAGTAACTGTGTATTACACATAAAATACTCAGTGCTCCCTCTAAGTACTACTTGGTTTAACACATTTTTTTAAATTGAATTAACTTGTGGGTTTTTCCAGGAGAGCTTTACTTAATGCCAAACGTGGATATTTTGAAGCTAGTGAATGGTCTCTGGAGAGAGCTTAAACTTAAAGGGAACGCTTGCTTTTTTTCACAGGCCCTCCAGTTGTCTGTCTTTTAGAAGCCTACAGATTTATATTTTTTTCATGCTTGGAAACCCCACAGTGTGTCAGTCTTTGCAAAACATTTTAGATGTGGTTCATCAGTATACCAGTAAGTATATGTGTGTATGTGAAAGAGTGGCTATGCAGTGTATAAATATTTTGAATTATTACAGTAGAAGAATAGTTGCCTGCCCTGCTGAGGAACGTCAGTAATGTGGTGTGACCCCTGGTGGGGTGCAGAGAAATTGGGGATGTAGGCCACATACTGGGCAGGCAATTTATAAATAAAGGCTGTTTGTCTCCTAGCCAAATAGTATGGATAGGATATTGGATAGGAATGTGCTGAATACAGTTCTTATACTTCTTGCAGATGGTTGTTTTCCCTCTACTAAATAAGATGTGTAGTTAAATTTATGACCAGCAGCTGTAAACCAGGCCAGTTTATTAAAGAGATAGTGTGTGAGGAACCAAGAGCAGGAACCATCCCCTCAGGATACCAGTTGTACAGTTCCTTTACAGTGTTTGTGGAGATACTTAGAAGAGCTTTAGCACAGTTATCTGTGTTACTGCTGCATTCCTCCTGAGAGGTGTTATAAAAATCCTCTTTTTAAGTTATTGGAGAACGCTCAGACCAGAAGAACCCTGGAATAGAAAATTATTTGCCATAAAACTAAAGAAGAGATGGTGAAGTTGGAAGAAAAAATTATATAGAAGAGTCCATAAAATTACAGAACAGGATGACCTGCTAAGTATATATGGAAGCTATAATATTTCATCTGCAGGGCTAATCACACAGTGTGAAGGTAAATTGAAAGTGCCAAAAGTCAGATACATACCAAGACAGACCTAAAAACGACGACTTTGAATGTTACTTTGCTAAGCTCGTGTTACAGCTAGGATTTGAGCTGTGTGAGGAACAATCTTATGTGGTAAATATATCAGTAAAATGATCTGTGGAAATTGCTGTAGAAAGCAAAGGGAGCTTTAAATATATATATGTTTACTATACACAGAAGGCAGCTGTCATACCTGCAAGGATTCACTCTCCCACGTGTTGATCTATCACCACAAGCTCTGCAGAAGGCAGTGTGACATGTTTATGAGTATTTTAGTGCCACGGCCTGTCAGCTGTTACTGACACTACATGTTGTTTGCCTTTGTCTTCAACAAGCTAGGCAATGCCTTGGATATTAGTGGCTTATCCAAAACAGTTTTTTAAGTATCTTCTTAACCAGAATGTTTCCTAACCGTATGCTAACAATGGCTGAGGATGGTTCTCTGTAGTTGTGGAATCTGGCAACTTCTATAGGAAGCATGTTGCAGGACTGAGCAGAGACTGTGTGCTTAATCCTTCATTTTGTATGTACAGAAGACTCCTAAACAAGGGTATTATGAAAGGAAATAATAGGCTTAACTGCCTGTCAAACCAAAAATACTTTTTTATTTCCTGACTGGAAGAAAAATCTGTGTAGAGCATCTGTTAAGTGGAACGCAACCTGAGAGAACAACCTGGCTTTTGTTCTTATGGTCAAGTTACAGCCCTTCAGTATTGCATTTCCTTTCAGACTGCTGCTGTACTGCCAGAAAATAGATCATCAACTATTTACATTTTCTTACCTTGGCATTGTGGTTACCATGCATTTGTTTTATGAGTTTTGAGGCTGTGCAAGTGCCTATTTACTTATATACACTGCAAAGTGAAGCAAGCAATGTTGCAAGCTTTGTACTGTCTAATGAGAGTTTCATTAGTGGACATGTTTTGAAAAAAAGCCCAGGAGTCTTGTGGCTTTCTTCTGTTTTGACAGACACACAGAACAGTTTACAATCTTGCATTTGTTTTCTTCATGTAAGTGCAGCTGTGGTGTTTTACTGAAATTTTCATGCTTAGGTTATTTAATTCCCATCTATATCTTGACTGGTACGAATTCTTTTCTGTCTTTCCCTATTCCAGTTATTACAGACTGCTATCTACACAATGTCCAAACAGGACTAGTAATGATTCCCTTTTTTTTAAAAGGTGTTTTTTACAAGATAAATGTTCTCTGTGTTGTGCTGCTACTTCTCTCCAGATGTATTCAAAACAAACAAGAATTGTGGGGATCAGTGTTGTTCATTAGATTTTATCATTGTTATTAGTTATCATCTTGTGGAGAGCAAAATAGCCACGGATCAAGTACAAGTATGCAGGTAAATTTGTGATGCTGATGTAGAACAATTGCATCTGATCTGATTCTGAATTCTTTATCTTTGTAAAGTTCATTGAAATTAAAAGCTGCTGATAGTAAACAACTGTGAACAGTAAGATTGATTACAGTCTTCGTGCTGGGCTGTGTATCAGAACTCATAATTAGATATAAAAAGGACATTGTGTCATATGTGGAGTGCCAATAACATTTACAGGGATTATTTTCATGATTACACTAGTTTTAAAGCTTAATTTCCACTTTTATCTACACTCCAACAGTAGACAAATACTCCATTAAATACACAAAACATGTACATGTCATTGATTCTAGTATGTGCTGAGGGCTGGATCTATGAAAGATTTTATATGTATGTTTGGTGTGTCAAGCATTTAAATCTGAAACTGAGACACACAGTTTCAGCTTGAACCCAGATGTTTCTTTAGGATCTCTGCTTTCCTTCTTAGTCCAGTAAAGCCTCTCAAGGAATCTGTATTTTGCTGCTGAGCAGAGGAAACAAATGCGGTCTTGAGTTTGTATCTGCACACTAGTCAGATTTAAATGTTGTTCATTTGTCTGGTTTACTTGTGGGACTTTTTTGGCAGTCACCTGACCTGCTCACTCGTGTTTGGCAGAGATAATGGTAAGAGTTATTTAGACTGTAGTGGTGTTAAGCACTCTGCTGGAGTTTGGGAGAGGCAAGTTGAAACTCCTCTTCTGTCTTGGTCTTTCACATCTGGTGAGACTAACAGCTGGGAGCTATTATGGAATAGTGCCATTCTGTGGTGTTACCAAGGGATAGCTTTATCCAAACAAGGTCTTAGTTGCCTTAAAGGAGACGAGGCATACTTTAGTGATTGAGAGGTATTTCATCTAAATTAGGTAAACTAAACACGTAAGCCTTCTCTGTATTCGGTGAAGTAAATAGCAATATTGTAGGTTGGGTTGAATTGCCTTCTGGAGATGCCTACTGCTATTGTTCTGTAGAGGGGGAAGCCCAGACAGCTATTTTAAAATGAAATTAGTCTAGCCCTGATGGGTACATTTTAAATTCCAGCCTAGGTTTGTATCCAGCGACAATCTGCTTGCTCGAGACAAGCCAGCTGATCCGGCACTTGCTGCATAGCACCCCATCTGTCTCCCAGGCCTATCTGATGGATAGATACACCTTGGCCTCTGAAAGCCTCACAGCAGACCTGGGCCTGGCCTGTACTCTTTGATTCTCTTGAAAGCAGACCTGAATAAGGCAACAAAGCCCTCCCTTCCTTGCTGTCCTGGCCCCTTCTCCCCTCCCAAGGCAGGTTTGTGCGAGGCAGGGGAAGGCCAGAAAAGAAAAAAAAAAAGCTGAAGTTGGGACAAAGGAGAGAAACTTGAGTGGGTAAAGTCTTAGTGGTAAGGCTTCTGATCTTAATTTTGGCCTTTAAATCCCAGACTGTTTACTTTTTCCAGTGAATGATGCAGAGTATAGAAAAAGGCTGCATAGGAGCAAGGGCTGTATTTTCTAATTAGAGTGTTTTATCTTTTAGGCTGTTCTTTGGTGTCCTGTGCTGCCATTACCATGCAAGTGTTTTACAGAAAGCAAAAGTTTCAACAGCTGAGGTTGCTAAAACCTTAAATACCCTGCAGCCAAATTGTTAATGTGTTTGACTAGAAAGTATGAGATAGTGTGTGTTTGAATCCCCACTCCAAATTGTTTAAAGAAGATGTGTAAACAAGGTTTCTTGCCTTCTCAGGTGACTGTAATAATCTTTATCCTGCTGGGTTTATCAGCTTTTGTCTGGCTAGATCCATCTGTTATCCTTTCTCAGGAAAAATGCTAAGCTTTTTCATACCAGTCTACTTGGAAGTGTATGAGACCTGCCTTCAAAAGGGTGTGTTAGCTTTGAAACACACCCCTCCCACTTCCTGTAGGTGGGATGCATTGGACACATATGGAAAGAGAAATAACTCTTTCCATAACTCTGTCTCTCTGTAGAGAGAGCCTAATGGTACCTACCCTTGTGGTGGATAGGGCAAGTTAAAAAGTGAGGTACATCACTGTTTGTGATGCCATCTCTTATCCCTTGTTCCTGACCTATATGTAGTGCCAGTGGTTTGGCATGACCTGCCTTCATCTAGTTCTTGCTTCTTCAGGTGCTGCCAGTCATCACTCCCCAGCCACCTGAAAACACAGTGAACTGATTCCCTTAAAAATAAGTAAGTTGATCTGAAGGCATGAGAGAGAATTGTTACCAGGGTAGGCTTTTTGAAAAACATTTTTTTTTTCATTTAGTAATTTTACAATCCTTCAGCAATTATAAATTCTGTAAAAAGGCCCTCCTTAATCATTAAAATGTGGCTTGCACAGTAGTGTTTGAGATCTTTGGAATGCCACCATTTTTTTTTCAATACTTACGTAAAAAGTCACAAGTCTCACCTCTTCCTGCAAATGAAGTGGCCTTTATTACGGTAAAGAGATCAATAATTAGTCCCATTGGGAAATCAGATACAGATATTCCTTTATAATAAGAATAATTGCTGAAAAATCAATTCAGATGTGTCTGTGCAATCAGTCTGCCCTTTCTCCACAGCTAGTCAAGGCTCCTCAGTCAAAAAATATCAAGTCCTTCAGGGATTACCCTCTGTGTGTGAGTCCTTGAAAGTTTTCCACATGCATATTTGTTGACAGAAGTGCTAAGAGTTTCTTCTTTGTCAGCAGATCTTCTTGACAGACTATTGATTACTTTTTGACTTTCGTTGGGTACATTGTTTTGTATGGTTGGCAGTCCTGATGTGGCTGATTCACTGACACAAACAGAGAGGGCCTGAACAAGTGGAAACACTTTCTACTTCAGGGTTTAGACTCTGGTAAAAATCAGAAAAGCAAGACAAATAGAGCTTTCTTCAAAAAAGTGTTAGGATATTGCTTCTACATTGTCTGATGGGAGCAGAAGTGTAGTAAGAAATCTCTACTTCTGTTTCTTTGAGTTATTTCTACACTGGCTCAACCAGAGCAAACCGCTGTCAGCAGCTGGAGTGTGTTACATGATCTTCTGAAACATTTCTTCCCATTTAGTTCCACCAGGAAAGATCCATTTCATCCAGTCAGAGATGTGAATCAAAAGCAAGTAAGAGGGAGAGTGTAATAAGGAGGTTGACTTCAAAAGTGAAAACATTACCAGCTCTTTCAGTCTTAAGAGAAAGTCTTGTCTGGTAGTGCTAACAATTATAATGCAAATTCTTAAAATCAACATTATATGTAATACCTCTCTGGGTAAAAAACCAATCAAACCCCACAGCCCTGCAATCTGAAACCAGGTCCTTTATAAGTGAATGAATTATCTAATGACAAGAAGTAAAAGCCCTCCCTGTTTCAGCTTTGCTCAGAAAATATTTTTACTGACTATTTAAAATGCCGGTTAAATGGCAATACATTGGCCTCTGGTGGAGTACTTGCCTTAAACAAAGAGCTGTTAATTGCAGTCTAATTGTGGACAATAAGGGTTATCTGAACAGTCAGTAATGAAACTTCCCCAGGTAACAATGTAAGTATTTGTTTGTTGGTTTTTTTTAAGGTAATTTCCCCTCAGTGGGGGGTTCTTTATTAAATGTGCATATGGGTCACTAGCACATTAGAAAATTAGAAAATATCCAGAGATTAAAAATAAAGGAGACTCTCTATGTACATAGAGTGACTATTTGGTGATTTAGACACACTAAGACAAGTAGGAATTTCTCCATCTTGCCTTTTCATCTCTTCTTTACCCATAGAACCAGCATTCAGTCTACCCACTCACGAAGGAGGAATACGGTTCTTCCATTCTTCATTTATTTCATCCTTACACATAGCTTTGAATATAGGGATTAGAGTATTGTGTATCAGCTTTGGCTGAATCCCTGAATTTTGAGGAAGCTCTTTCCCCTGCCTGTGACCTCCAAAGTTTTGTTTCAAGCTTATAGCACTCACCATTAGCTGCATTTTTCTATAAAGAGACAAAACACTTCTCATAACTTCCTTACAATGAGGAGGAAGCGGAGTTGAAGTTACCATTCTATCTATAGCTATTCAGCAATGCCTTCCCACTCTGCCACCCACAAAATGTAATTCAAGCAAGCAAATATGCAGCCACAAGAAGAAATTCACATTTCATTTTGAAGTTAACAGAGCTTTGCATTTTCGCTTTCCAACTCTTACAGATTTTCTACCTAGACAGAAAAAATCCATAACATAACCTTATACACATGGATAATGCCTATTCTGTTTCTGGGGTTATATCAAGAAAACCCTTGCCAAAGGCTATAGCCCCTGCAAATTTACAAGCCCCAGTTTTTGCATATGAACCTTGATTTTGAACATCCACAAATCCATGGGACCTGATGAGATGCATCCCAAGATCCTGAGGGAGCTGGCAGATGTTGCTAAGCTGTTGAAAAGCCATGGCAATCAGATGAAGTCTGTAGTGACTACATGCTCTGTGCATGTAGAGAGGTGCCCAGTCATCGTGATTTTCTGGAAAGGGGGTGAGAACTTTCACCATCATTCAGTCCTCTTTGCACATCCTTATTTGTGTGGGGCCAGCCTCCTGCCCTGTTTTGCTGGCTGCAAGGTCTCTCTTGTCCACATCACTCTGAGACCTTTGCTTGTGAATCCATGTCACAACTACCTCTCTTGATGGTGGATCATCATCTCCCCCTCCTTGCTGTTCCTAATTCAAAGCTCTTCTCACTAGGCTTGACAGACGTGAGAAGCTGTTCTGCCACAGTCAAGTCACGTGGAACCAATTATCCATCCTTATCTTCAAAATGGCCTGGTGGTCATAAAAGCTGAAGCCTCTGAGACCAGCTGAAAAAGTGGTTGTTGATCCACAGGATCTGTCCACTCCTCAAATTCCTCCTTTTGCTGGCAAATGGCACCACAGGACCCTGGTTCCCTTGGTCCTCACCTCCAGAGTGACACAATCATTCTTGTTCTGCTCCAGGTCCCCCCTGGCCACATGGGTGGTGCTTGAGTTGGCCAAGAACCAGGGAAGCCTTGGCAGCCTCCCCACAGAACCCATGTGAAGCAGCAAACCTCTTTAGACCTGGGTCAGTCTGGTCACCAGAACCTCTGCCCACCACAGGCAGTTCCTCTTTGCTCTCACTTCCCATCTCCCCCTAGCTGCTGCTGCCAGAGGCTCAGAGGCTGCCAGATGTGGGGGTGTCATCAGGTGGTGATATCCCAGCCCCTTATCTGCTACCAGGGCTCTGAATCTCTTCTATAGTACAGATCTGCAGGTGGGGCAGGATACCCTCCAGTCTTTGCCCCCTGTGAGTCTGCATTTCCCACACCTGGATGTATGCACGGACTTTTCCTCCATCCTCCAGTGCAGCAGTTCAGGCTCCTGAGTCAAGCTGACATATCCCTTACTGCTACAGTTCGGAGATATGATTGCCCAAGGTCAGGCACAGGTTAACAAGACTCAGAAGCACTGCCCTGGACTGTAATTAAGATTGGTGAATTGCTGGAAATACTCTCCTTTGCTCTTGTAATCTGTCTGCTTTGCTCTTTTTCATATACCCTAATGGTTCTGCAATTCTATTACAGTATTAACCAAACACATGATGAAAGTTTCACTTTCTTTATCCACCAGCTGCAACATTGATCTTAAAGGTCTTCTCTTAGATTATGTGATTCTTTGCTCTTCTGTTCTTGTCCCTCTTTCTGATGTTGTAAACTCTACCTGAAATATTAATCAATAAAGTACATCAGAAATAGCCATAATGATCTCCTTGTATTTGTGCTATAGTGGTCATTTTAGGTGTTCTGTCAGTGGGACTCACTTCATAGTCTAGAAAGATCTGAAACTAATTGTACCAACCACCTAGTTCTCAAATTGTTAGTTTTTTGATTCATTGCAAGAATGTTTCTCCGTTCTGGAGCTCAAGATACAGTTAACATACGTATTTTACATCTGAATTAGGTTTGAGAGAAATACACAGACCATAGGAAACATGAAAATTTGATGTGTGAAATTTTACTATTCACAAAGCTGAAAATTAATACAAATAATCTCATGGTTAATCATTACAGATTTAACATTAATAAACAGTTGAATATTAACAATGCTTTGGGGAAAGAAATCATCCATATTAAAAGCTTTCAGGGTACTGTATTCTTTGAAATTACTGACCATTGCTAGTAAGTTTAGAGAAATCAGTACTTATTTTTTTACATATCACAGCCCATGCAAACATTTGCAAGTAGATTTCTTTTAACCATTTAGGCATTAAGCTGTCACAGTCACACAGTCTCAAAGAAGAAACCATGCTCTGAATTGTCCAAGGGAAGCATTTCAGCAGCTCACTTGCTGTTCAACACATTTGGAAGTGCAGCTCCTTCCAGTGACTCTTAACTGCTCCTCTGAATATCTGACAAGAGAAGTAACATTCCTCCTCTCCCCACCCCCATCTTCTACTCAAGATGGAATGGAATCCTAATTATAAGAATGTATCTCTATCATATGAGAAGGCTGAATAGCAAAGGAGAACAGAAAGCAAATCAAACAAAGAAAAAAGTGAATTTACAAAGCAAAATGAATCTGAGCTTTGTAAATAAACATCTTGCACTTCAAGTACTTTCTGATTAGAAAACAGTGTAATGCTTGCTGCTCACTCATAAAAACCTCTTCAATTGTAGCTTTCTAAGATCACATTAAAAGGCAAAACCAAGAGCAGTTGGTATCTAAAAAGTGGCCATAGAAATAGTAAAGTGTTTAAGAGACTGAAACTTACAAGAATATATAATAACTTCTATAGGGCTGTTTCTTGGTGACACGTATGCAGGGAAGAAATAATCATGAAGAAGAAATGAGGATAATCCATCAGAACCTCTCCGTTCAGCCACATTCCACTTAACTCCATTCAATAAGTACAGTAATTTTTGTCAAGTTTTACTGGAGAGCAATTATTTTTTATGTAATACAGAATATTTGATGTAAACAGACAGTGCCTCACCATCTCATTAAAATTCTTAATTGATAAGCAAAAAGCTAACAACACCTAAACCAGCTGGTACTGTGGCACATTTGCACCCCTGGGTGGAAGACCTGGAGCAACCACGAAAGCACTGGAGTTGGCACAAAAATGGAGATGTGATATCCCTGCATTGGCCGGAAAGCACCAATTGGGTGAGACCTACCCATGATCATACACTGAATAATTATGAAATAGATACTGAATTTATTTCATGCACTCTGTGCAATGTACTGTCATGATGTACTCAGTGCAGCAGATGAAGTGGGCTTCCCTAGAAAAAATAGTTTGGGGCACTGTCATTAAAGTTGCATTGTAAGAATTGCAGAGAGGGGTCTAAATTAAGATTCTGAAAGCAAACTTCATTCTGTAATCTCCTAACTTTTAAGTGATTTGTTTTGTTTTGCAATTATGCAAATGTCAAGTCATTCTTAAATTTATGGGAGGGAAGTGAAAATACTGTAATCTAAAAATATTCTTGCCTTGGTTTTGAATTTTTTGTGTATTTATTGAAAACATGGATTTTTGTAAAGAAATGGTAGACTGTCAGTCCATCTGTTTATTCAGTATGTTATTACTACAAACCCATATTTTAAGCATTTAGGTTATGAATGGAAAACTAACTTGACTCACAGTAAATGTAGGCAAATTTCAAATTAAGGACAATGTCTTTTTTTGTAATTATGAAAATATAGGTTGTGGTTCTAATAATAAGGTCTGGTTTGGGTTTTATACATAAATAATGTTGTGATGTCCCTATCAATATTTTTTCCACCAAATTATGAGTGATCCTTACAAGTACAGATAACATACTCAAAAATTTTAAAGCAAATTGGGTAGTTTACAAGTAAATCGATGCTTTAAGAGACATCACACTTTCTTGTGTTCAGTAGTGGCACTTGAAATAATAAAAACTCTTTAAACTTCACATCCTCTCCCACTGTGACAAGGTTAGGTTTTTTCCCGCTTGCACTCACATTTATGGAGTTTCTCTGGAATTTTGAAAATGCAGGACAGTCATCTATGACTGTCTGAGGTTACATCCTTGAAAACTGTCACAGCTGAGCATATGGTGCTTTTCTGATAAGTTCATGTTCACTGATAAGAGTAAATTAATTCATTCAAAACAAGATGAGGAAGGCTGCACTGTCAAAGAAAACATACCAGGTAAAATTTGTATTTTAAAAACTTGTCCAGATCATACCAGCATATGGAGGACCCACAGGGGGATCTGTTGTACTAGCTCACCGATGTACACTCCAGGCATCTACCTGTGACTGTCCCAGTGCAACACATTTGAAGGGAAGAGCACAGTTTTAAAACACCAAACTAGAGAATGCTGTGCTTTGTGTGTGTTTTCATTTTCATTAAAGCTCACGGAGTATCGCCTTCCTGTGCATGTTTCCCTCTGGCATTATGGTTAATGAATAACTGCACCCTAACTCTCCAGATGTATTTATTTGGAATTTGAAATGATTTATTGAACCCTTAAGATCTTGGGAAATAATTCCCCAGTCCTTTCATGACAAGAAAAAGACTGAGTTAGACCTTACCCTTCTAGATGTGATAGTTTTGATAGAGTTCAGCAAGGCAAAATACAATTTTCTGTTTGAGAACTTTCAAAACTGACCTCCTGCTTATTCTGTTCTGGATAGAGAATTCACCTGCAGATTTCATTACAGGAAGAACCCTCCCAAGTCAAATTTAGTGAAAAATTTAAAACAGAAATCTATCTCTCATATTAACAACTCCTTTGCAAGCAGTACCATAGAGATGGAGCAGTTAGTTCCAGACAAAAGAACAGAAAGGCATTTGAGGCTGTGGACCTCTAACAGTTCTATTAGGGGTACTCAGTTCCATGGTAGTTGTATGTGTTGCTCAGACATCAACTACGTTTCACAGTTCCAAGAATGGAAAAGAATGCTGTTCTAATATGCTTACAAAAATCAGAGCTTTGAAGTCCTTTTTGCTCCTCTGTGATTAAAAGGAATGTTAAAATAACATTTGATCTATACAACACAGGTAGTCACTTACCAATACTAGAATTTCTGCAAACCAAAACCAGTAGCTAATTTTAAGTGACGAGTGAGGAGATTATTTTGCAAATGCTCCAGTTACTTCAGCAAATACTAACTCTGTTGCAAATAAAACTCAGCGAAAGTCTGAGAGTACTGCAGAAATAAAAACTCTCTGATTACTTTCTCATATGTGATCAGTGGTATATGATTTTCTGACAGGATTTCTGGATGTTTATTTTTGGAGAAGACAGACTTAAAACTGAGCTTGATGAAAAACCTGTGTCAAATAACATACTTAGTTTTAGCAAATAAATAGTAATAATAATGTCCAAGTGTGCTCTTTGGACTTGAGCCTTAGTGCACAAACTCAGTCTAGATCTAAAATTTATACTTTAAAATATCTCAAAAGTCTTGCATCGGCAATTTCTTGTCTTCAATAATTATGTGTTTTTCATCTCACTTTCCATAAAGCTCATGAAATGTGCTTTGACAGTAGCTGCTCCTAGGACAACAACTTTTTGATTGCAGTATTTAATCCACCATGAAACTACTCGGATGATCTAAAAACTGTCAAAAAAAAGGGCTAAATGCACCATTAAGCAGCATCTGTATTAAACCTCCATGCTCTGGGACACACTGGTTTTATCTGTTCTAGCAATTTTGCCAGCTCCTTGTTAACAGCACATCTCACCTTCTCTTTCTCACTTTCATCACTCTACATGACTTTTAGACTAGCAGGTAATCCAGTAAGCCCCTATTTTAGCTGTATGAACTTAAACCAGATTGGAACTCTTCATTAAGCATTTCCCAAAAATGCACTGTGCTTTGCAGAATCATAGATACATTATATGAATGACTTTTCTGCTGTGTTGTCTTCCTTTTCTATTCTCTAAAATTTCCTGTGATTGATTTTGGGGAGGAGTAGTTTGCCTGGGTTTCCAAAATCCTCACCAAAATGGGAATTCAATCTCAGAGAGCATACGGATGGGTGGACCAGAAGGTACTCCCCATTACTTAGCTGTTCTCAAATATCTTTAGTAATTGGACTACAAGAGAAAAAAAAATTAATTCCATGAACCTCCTCTTCATTCTGCTCCTATCAGTGTCTCACACAATTGTATTTCTTAGCTACTGCTTCTGGAGTGTTTCACAAATAAAAGCTTCAGCATAAAATTTTGAGAACAAAACTTAAATTTCAGGTGCACCCACAGTAGCTTGTTGGAAGAATGCAGACATAAAGTGACAGCACTACATACCTGTCCCAACACAGTTCAGTAAATGTCCTAGTTAGGACAACTGAGACCAGTTCATCAGGGTATGGGTGTAACCCAAAACTGTGTATTCTATAGCCTTCCATGCCATTTCCCAGAAACTGTTATCAATGAACCATTTACACCCTCTGCCCATAGAGCCTGACTCCTCAGGCTATAAACTAGGTGTTAAGAGGCCTGTGAGATAGGAGGATGCTCCTGTCCTCACACCCTTTGTGGAACTCCCCGCCCTGAGGGAAGTGCTGAGCATTTCTGCCTGAACTGCAGGATATATAATCTTGGAGTCTTGGAACATTTGGAACCACTCTGTGGGATCCAGAGAAGGACTGCGGCTCATCGCTCTCAAACAGACTTGGATCACCACCCTATACTGGACTCCAATCACCACTTTGACCAGACTGCAACAGCTCTCCCACCAGCAGGTTCTTCCCCTCTCCCTTTACTTTGGACTCAAGC